TGAACTCTGCTGGTGGGCTAAGTGTCAGAGCACTTGGGGGCCTGCCCACCTCATCCTGTAGTCTTCACCATACACCCTGTCCCTCTGCCCTGGCCTGAACCCCAATCTTGGCCCCCACTGTGTTTTCTAATGGGGATGGACCTCATACAAACTGGACCACATGGCTTCTTAGAAACCGCACCAAGTGCTGGTCTCTTGGCAACCACAGGATCAAAATAAACTTGAAATAAAAGATGGAAAAGAAAGCAGAGACCTCAGAACTCACTGGACCTCATGACCCTCACAGTGATCCTCTGTGGGGACCAGAGCACCTGAGTCTGTGACCTGCATCCTGTCTCAGGCATTCCCACCCTAAAGTTGTTTACTGTCTCAGACTGCCCATATTTTAAAATGCACAGGAGACAGTGTCCCTGTGAGCATGGGCTCTGGGCAGGAAGGCACCGGGATACCTCAGGGGGGCCAGGAGCACCTCAGGTGGGGAAGATCTGCATAGTGGCATCTCAGTGGGAGCCACTCTAAGTGAGAACCTTAACAATGGGGAGCACCTGTGGTGGGGAGCACCTGTGGTGGGGAGCACCTGTGGTGGGGAGCACCTGTGGTGGGGAGCACCTGTGGCACCTGTGGTGGGGAGCATCTGTGGTGGGGAGCACCTGTGGTGGGGAATACCTGGGCGGGGGCATCTAGGAAAGGCTGGACAGTCTCTGAACTATAAACTTTAGCCCCAGTCTTTAGCCTCTGAGTCTCAGCTTGGTGGTTCTGTGGCCCTTCTTGATGGAACCCCAGAAGGCAGAGGTGTGGAAGATTGTCCCACCTGATGGTCTTGGGACTTCATTTAAGAAAGAGGTTGCTCCCTGGTTATGTCCACAGAAAGTAACATATGAAGAAGTCAAGCATGCATGAGGAAAGTTGGAGTCTAGAGCACTGCCCGTGGGACCAGATACCTCTAACCGTGGGAATCTCAGCATCCAGGACCATGGTTGGCATGGAGGGCAGCTGAGGGAGAAGCTGACCTTCAGCTGCAGTGGTGTACAGCCGCCGTCAGTGCCTGCGAGGCTCTCTGTAGCTGAGATCCCACACCCTCTGAATCAACTGCGGCTGAATCCAAACCACCCAGCAAGTGTCACGTCTGTACTGAACATTATGGTGGCTTAAGCAGAGTGTGTCGTTGTCCCCCGCCCTCCCCCACCCAGTCCCGGGCATTTGAAGACTCGGTTCCCAGGTGGCTCTCTCTGGAGAGCTTTGGGGGGCACAGCCTTGCTGGGGGAAGGTACGTCACGGCGGTAGGCTTTGAGAGCTGAAGACTTTGCTTGACTTCTAGGGCCTCTCTCGACTTCCTGCATGACTGCTTGCTGCCATGCTTCCCTAGCATGATGGCCTCATCCCTCTGAAACCGTAATCCCAGATAAACCCTTCCTTTTCTAGGTTGCCATGGTCATGGTATTTTACCATGGCAACAGAAAAGTAATGACTACAAACAGTTTGGACTTATTTCCCCTGAACTGTGCAGGTGACCCAGGATTTCTGCTGTCCCACTGTCAGTCTTCTGTGGAGATGACTGCAGAGAGCATGCTGGGAGATGGCAGGGAGCATGCTGGGAGATGGCAGGGACTTGTAGGGATCGGACATTTTGTCAAGCAACTTTCTACCACTGTGACAAAGCACCGGAGACAGTGTAAGGGGGAAAGTTCGTTTGGGCTCAAGGCTTTGTAGCTTTCTATTTGTGTTTCTTAAGCTTTTCACCGGCTGTGGTGCAAAGTACATAGATGAGGGGAGCCAGGAAGTGTGTGTGTGCAAGTGCATGTGTGTGCATGTGTATGTGTATGCAAGTGCATGTGTATGCACATACATGTGTGTGCCCCAATATCCCCTTCAGAGGCATTGCCTCTATGGCCCAACTTCCTCCCACTCAGCACCACCTCCTAAGGCTCCACAGGCTGCAGCCCATCCCCCTGCTAGCTCCCTGTAGAGGACTGGCTGCCATCCTGTGAGAACACTCAAGCACCCATGGAGATGCCACACAGTAAAGACCTGGAGCCTCCAGCCACAGACAGCTGTGTATTAGCCACTGTGAAGGTGGGAGCCCCTACTGCACCTTCAGGGGAGCCGGCAGATCAGAGCTCCAGGCATGAGCCACTCTTCAGTCTCTATGGATTCTCAGCTGCCATCTGCAGGCACCTCACGCACAGCAGCCGCAGACAAGGAGTCCTATTCCTTCATCGACTGGCAAGGGATTGAGGGGGGCTGTCCATCTCCTCATCAGGCTGCCAGCAGTGCCCCTGCAATTTCCTAAGATTGGGGGACCAAAAATACCCTTGGCAAACTGCAGTTGTTAGGGGACACCTGCTCCTCAAAGGGACAGAGTGGGCAGATCTCAAAGGGAAAGAAAAGGATTAGCAGACAGGGACAGCTGCATGGGGACCAAGCCAGCAACCACCAAGGCAGACTCAGTCCATTGCTGGAGTCCCTCTACAGACCTGAAGGGGGTGCAGAATCTGAGCACAGATGGATGGGGCGAGTTAGAAGGAGCTGCAAGGTTCCCAGGCTCTGCTGGTGACCCTGGGGCATTTATACCTGTAGGAGGAGGGAGCTGCCTGTTCATCCCAGCCACCCGGCTAGTTTAGCCCCAAAATAACCACACAGAAACTGTATTAATTAAAACACGGCTTGGCCCATTAGCTCTAGTTTCTTATTGGCTAACTCTTATATTAATTTAACCCAATTTTAGTAATCTGTGTATTGCCACATGGCAGTGGCTTACCAGGTAAAATTCCCAGCGTCTGTCTCTGGAGGCTCCATGACTTTTTCCTGACTCCACCCTTCTTTCTCCCAGCATTCAGTTCCATCTTCCCCACCTATGTAAGTCCTGTCCTATCAACAGGCCAAGGCAAGTTTCTTTATTCATTAACAAAGACAAAGAACCTCCCATATCATTTCCCCTTTTCTGTTTAAACAAAAAAGAAGGTTTTAATTTTAACATAGTAAAATAACATATAACAAAACAGGTATCAAGCAAGAATTACAGTTACAATATTTCTATTTATCTTTTATCATAACTAAGGAAAATTGTATCTATAACTATAAATTCTTCAACTCCATCAAAGACTCCAGAAGGATATAATATTACCTAAGTAAATAAGAAGTGCATTGTAAGCAACTTCCAAAACCCTAGAAATGACAGAGACATCTTGCTGCCTGGACAGTCACCCAAAGTTTTTCTGTACCGTTGGGGCAGACTCTTTCATGAAGCAGGAACCCCAAAGGATCATCTGACCTTTAGGCAAGCTCAGTACTCATTTCTCTGTGGATTCTGCATGTCCAGTTTTTACAGTCCAGGCAAGAGCAGGTTCTTGTCTAAATGGCTAACCAACTCCATAAGAAGTCTTTTTGATGCCCATCTTCTTTTTGAAGGAGCTTGTGCTGCCAGGAGCAGATGTGTCTCACTATCATGAAAAGTCTTAAGTTCTTAAACATTTTAAATGCCATATTCTGAAGGTCTTTGAAAGATTCAAAGAATACCTATCTAACCGAAATATAGCTCTATATATCTAAAAAACCTAACTAGCATGACTACAATTATTATTATTTACTATTTACTATTATAGATGACTATCTATTAACCTATATTAATTAAACATTACATTTTTAAATGAACTACACAAACACAATACCTTAATCAAGATCAGAAATATACATATAACAAGACTGACCTTAAGTTTGCCTCCATAAACCAAGATCCATACCAGTGCAAATTATTCATCTCTATAGCATATTTTCCTTTAAATTTAAAGAAACATTTGCAAACAGTATTTGAGAATATGGGCATAAATGTGTCCATACTTCTTCCTGCTGTTGGGGGGCACTGTTAATCAGGTCTTTCATGGTGTATCCTGTGTGTTAGGTTCATCTCAGGCAGCAGTTGGGTGAAGTAACTTTTTGAGGGTGTTCATGGCAACCTTTCAGGGGAACATGATCTATCAAGCCATATTGGTCTAGAAGCAATCCACAGGTTCTCATCTTCTGTGAAAACAAAAGAAGAACCTCTTTTCCAAAGCACTATATCCTAGACTCAAGTTCTGAAGTCAAGATATCTTTTAAATATACATACGCGTTTATCTTAGCAGCCTATACAATGAAATGTCTCTCTGTACTTAGCTCCTTCAAAGACAAAAAAATCAAAGAAATCACAATAATATATATAATCCAGACTCTCTGAATTTTTCATTTTTACATGGCTTATTTTTAGTCTATTACTATCTGTACTCTATCTCATTAAAGACTTTACCTTTTTTAAAAAAAACCATTAACTTTATTTTATGACTCTATACTCTTTTTCTTCTCTCTTCCAAGCCTACATACATTTATCCAACACTATGACTCATCTGGATTTGTCTTTATTGCTTATCTGTAATTCTTTACTGTCCTGAAGAGCTTTTTAAATAGTAAGAAGCTTGCTTGCAGCTGCTCTGGATGCTGGCTCTGCCTCTCTCCAATTTTAAAATGGTGGGAAGCACCACCAGTGCTAGCTCTGAGGCTGCCAGGCAGGAGTTGCACTCAGCACTCCAACCCCGAGAGTAAATATGCAGCACATAAACCATTTTTATCTGAGTAACAGCCAAATCTGCCACACAGAGCATTGTGCAGCCTGGAAACATCTCTGTGTATGGCAGCAGGAATCCGCCATGCTCTCCTGCTTGTGCACGCCTAGCAGTCCTGATCCAGCTGCCTGCTGAGGCGGGGAGTGCTGAGCCACGGCCGTGATCTCAGCCACTTTCCTTAAGCAGGCCGAAGCAGTCTGCTAACAAACCCCATCCAAATGCTCTGTCTCCTGCAAGAGTCAGAGGTCACACTAGCAGCATAGCCCATAAAGCCGACATTTTAAAACTGCGCGGCTTTTTTCTTTTGCTATGGCTGAGTCAGGAAAACCTCTCTTAAAGGAGCTATGGCACACTGCCAGCAAACAGCAAGAAGCTGGGTTAAACTCTGTATTTTTGTGTCTAGAATTAAGCTCTCTCAGGTTTTTAAGTGGATTTAGTCCATTACATTGGCACCAATTTGTAGGAGGAGGAGGGTAACCATTGGCTGTAAGACTTCCTACAGTATACACCCCAGCAGACATGGACCTCATCAACTGGACTGGGATAGAATCACCTAGAAGACACAGCTCTGAGCGTGTCTATGAAGATGTTTCCAGAGAGGTTCGGACTTAATCTGAATGGTGGTGACCTGGACTGAAGAAAAAGGAGAAGCAAGCTGAGAACCAGCCTGCATCTCTGTCTCCTGACTACAGATGCAATGTCATAGCTGCCTCGTACCCTGTCACCACGCCTTCCCACTGTGACAGACTGCACCTCATCTGTGAGCTGCAGTAAGCTCCCTGAAGCTGCTTTTGCCAGTGTTCTGTGCAACAGCATGCAGGAACAGGTTCTGGAGATTCTGCTCTGGGGCCTGGGGCTCGGGCTTCTGAGACTTGGGCTTGTAGCCTGGTCTACGGGGTTAGAGACAGCATGGTGTTCACAGGCCACAGTAGACCTCACTGGGAATCTGGGCATGATGCTTATTGACAGCTCTCATAGCCTGGAGTCTTCTGCAGGGTTCTTCAGGTGGAAGTCAGGGTGTGGGCTTACCATACCGCCACCCTGACACCTTGTCTCTCAGTCAGGGACCTCACAGTGTCTCTAGGATGAGGCAAATGGCGCCAAGCCATCTACTCCAGAGCGTGATAAGGATAAAAGGCAGGAAGCTTCCTCAACCTGGCTCAGCTGCCCTGTCTCATTTTGTCGTTAAGAGCCAAACACAGTTTCTTTCTCATGGTGTGTTCGGAAATAAATCCTAACCTCCCAATTCTAGTGGATATCCTGGGCTACACATGTCAAGGGCTATGCTCAGGAAGCAAAGCATGCTAGGAGCCTTCTCACCCTGTCCTTGATCTGTACTGGTGGGGCCTGGTGGGGCACAGGCTTTGACAACAACGTCTCTTCCTTGGCGTCCCCATCGCCAGTGACACGTTGTCAATTCAAATCTTTCTTTGGATTCCTAGTGATGCTGAGAGAGGAAGAGAGAAATAGATAGGGAGAAACATATGGAGAGAGAGGGGGAAGAAAGGGAGCACACCAGCCTGGACCGAGTCACCCATCACTGTTCTTGAAGATGGAGTCTCACAGAAGCTGACGAGGGAGAGAGAGGAAAGGACACTGTGTCAACTACATATGGATATAGTCGTACCTGAAGCAAGTAACATTTCTGCATCTTGCTTGAAACAATTTTCACTGAAGCCCTGATCTCTGGCTGTTCTTATCCCTTAATCTCACTTAGAAACTGCTGGGGGAGGGGCTGGAGAGATGGTTCAGCAGTTAAGAGCACTGACTGCTCTTCCAGAGAACCTGGTTCAATTCCCAGCTCACAACTGTCTGTGACTCCAGTTCCAGAGAATCTAACATCACATCAAGGCACATAAAATAAAAAATTAAATAAATCATTTTTTTTTAAGTGTCAAAGGAAGTCACAGACACACTTGTGTTCAGGCCCTTGGGCTTGGCTTAGTCTGGCTGGCCCTCAAGAAGCCAGATGACCAAGTTATCTGCTGCCGTGGTGTAGTCTGGAAATCTGTTCAGCTGCCTCCACGGTCAAGCTTTGGATCTGGAGCCCTGCCTCCTGCCTCCTCAGGCCTCGGTTTTCTCCTCTGTAATGTGTAGATCCCGCTGCTTTCATTCTAGGGCAGCCTGAGGGAGGACTCAGGAAGGTCACAAATATTGAACGTGTAGCTGAGTGCCCAGCACAAAGGAAGTGAGGTCAGCTGGCGCTGTCTGCCCATTCCTGCAGCGTCCTGCCTGCCTTCTCCCCAGCCTGACCCACTTTCACCCACACTTGGCCAAAGGCCCAGGCCCTGGCCTATTTTAGATACACCTCTCTTTGTCGGAGGAAAAAGAGCCTTGCACCGGCCACCTTCAAACAGGGAGGCTATTGTGGGGATGAGAAGGCACAGGAGCATGGACTCTGGCAGGGACAGCATGGGGACGGATTCGTGTGGTGCTGGTCCTCGGCTCCCTCCACCTACCCCTGAGGGAAGGGTTCTCACCAGGCCCAGAACCGTGCCTCAAGGCATGATGGGAGGAGATGCCCTCTCTGCCCATGTTGGGAAGGGATGGATGGGTCCGTTTGTGCTGATAGTTTGGGTTCACAGTTAATAGCTATGCAGTTCCTCATGGCCACCAAGAGAGAGAAACAGGCTAGGGCATTTGAATGGAACAATGTCAGGGTGACTGTGACTTAGCCTCTAACCCTGGACACTGAGAGAACAAACAGGCACCCAGGGAGTAGAGTTCAGAGAGAAACAAAGAAGGCAAATGCCACTTAGGAAAGAGCACCTGGGACTAAGTGCCAAGATTGAGTCTGCGATTAGTACTCAAGTGTATGTATGTTGTCTGCCTGGTAATGATAGACTTTCAGGTGGGGCTCGATCCAGGGACTTTGATGATGTCATCAGGATCCCGTTTCTCTCTTCTATCTGTAACCTGGGCACTTGGCTCTCAGAGGCCCAGAAGTTTGTTCTGGTTTTTGAATACCCACACCCTGGGATGTTTGTAAGACGTCCCGTGCACACACACGCCTTTACATCATGCTTATTAATGCTATCTTTTTAATATGTAGAAACATAGCCCCTGATTTGTGAGGCTGCAGAGCCTCTTGCTCACACTCATTTCCCAAACTTCCAGGGAGCTGGCTCCATGCTCAGGATGTAGAGTGGAATGTCGTGATCATCTGGCATAGTTGCCACAGCCATCAGCCTGGCCATTCACTGGCCCAGGTGTGAGCAATCTGGGTGTGCCAAGCTTGGATCCCTGAGAACGTTCAGGCCTTCCTCCCCATGGTCAGGGAAGGATGGATATAGAGACAGAGCTCCGCTGCAGGAGTGCGGGCTCTTTACAGGCACATGACTCGGACCTGCCAACAGGAAATGAGAGAGGATCATGGGAGACTGGAGTCCCTGGCCTGGGCTACACCTGAAGACCTGCCCTCACAGAAGCTAATGAATCCCCTTTCCTAAGCTCAGGTTCTCTGCCACCTGCGATTGAAGAGGTTCTAGCTGCATATTAGGGTTCAGGGCATTTTGCACAAAGGGGATTTGTTGATTGGGTAGATTTGTTGGCTGGCCAAAAAAGAATTCTAGTGGACTCTACTCTTTGCGAGGTCCAGCTTCAGAAGGCACGGGGTGCATTCCTGGTCCCAATCTCCTGGGCTGTGTCCGGCCACTGTGTCTTACTTAGTTTTATACCATGTGCTTTGTGAATGCTAAGTAAGCCCTGCGCCCGGAGCTGCACGCCTGCCGCCTCCACTTTAGCGTTACTCTTCAATTTCCCCAGAATACTCTAGAGTCCAGTCACCCCTGCGGGAGTGGAAGGAGCGACTTCTAGACTCAGCGACTAACTGACAAAGATAAATGATGTCGGGTCGCAGCTGAACTGGCTGGGTTCACTCCCTTTTATGGTAAAGGCCAACGTGTGGCCTCACAGTCTGTAAGTGCCTCCCATGTCACCGAGTCACCCAAAGAGCTTGGCCTTTGCCAAGCTAGTGGCAGATGGTTCTGTGGAAACTGGGGTGGAGGGGGCAAGGGCTTTAGCCAATTTGCCCACTGTGGGAGCTGCAGGGCCTGGCCCTATCATAGCAAATCGCCTCTCCACCAGCCAGCTGGCTCCTAGCCCTTCGAGCAGTGGGGGCCTCCATGCTTTGAAGTAATTAATTATGCAATATGGCAAGGAGACAGCAAGATTTAGAACGGAGTCAGCGACAGATGGCCCCGGGAGGAAACCAGATCTGCTGGGAGACAGGATGGTGGTGGAGGGAGGTGGGCCTGTGTGTGTGCCCATGTATGTGCTGTGTGCCTGTGTGTACGTCTGTGTGTACACTTCTGTGCATGTGTGTGCTTATGTGTATACATGTGATTGTGTGTGCATATGTGTACATGTGTGCCTGTATGTGCACATGTATATTGAGTGCTTCTGTGTGCCTGTGTCTATGTATGTGCCTGTGTGTCTGTGTAGACATATGTGCTTGTATGTGCTTGTGTATATGCCTGTGTATGCACCTATGTGTGCTTATGTATGTGCATATCCTGTGTGTACATGTGTATCTGTATGTGTATGCACCTATGTGTGCTTATGTATGTGCATATCCTGTGTGTACATGTGTACCTGTATGTGCATGTGTATATGCCTGTGTGTGTCCCTGTGTGCATATTTAAGCCTGTGTATATGCCTCTGTGTGCCTGTGTGTACATGTGTGCCTGTATTGCACGTATGTATGC